GTTCTATTCTTTTGGAGGGATGCAGTAAAAGGCAGAGGTAATACCTGCAGAGGCTTTTTTTTTTTTTTTTTTGAGCTAAAAAGGGTAGTATGTGTTTTTCAAGCTATGCTTAAACTGAACTGGTACATATGTAAATTGAAATGCATGTATGTGAAGTTCCAGCTGAGGGGGGGGGGGGGCCTAAACAGATTGAAGCAAGGAAATGAATCGTTAGTGGAATGTCAGTAAATATTCAGATATCCTCACAGTTTCTTAAATAAATGCACATTTGTAAAATATCAGATTGCATATTCCAAACACAGCTTTAACTCTGTCCCTGTATCCATTCCCAGTCTTATTCTGCAGACCAGAAAACCTCTACAGTCAGTAACTACATCAAATAAATTCTGAGTATGAGTTACAACCATCACACAATACGGTTATGTTGGAATATTTTTGCTATTTAATAACAGACAAAGTGGATATTTTATTTTGGAATCAAAGTGCTGTTATGCGGATTTATGGTTATAAGGTTGGCAGTGTTTCTGAGTACTTTCTTTTCCAAAATACATAAATATAAAGTGGTAAAAGTTTTGTTTTTAGCTTATAAATGTAGTTAATCATCTGTTCAAACAATAAAAAATTCTATTTATTAATGGCCAAGAAATGTTAGAGGGTTTTTCTTTTTTACAAGAGACTCATTTAAGTCAACTGGATGAAATGAATAGACAGTGAATATCACAATGGTTTAGAGGGGATCATGGCACACCAGTCAATCATGTGGAACTTCAGTCATTAATCCATTAAAGTCGTTACTGCCTCCGAGTCTTATTTAAAGGTCACGGTCTTTTTTAAGGATTTCGTTGATGAGGGAAAGATCCATGTGTTTGATCCATCCAGCGCGTGCACTCACTGACTAGCGTGCTGAAGTATGTTCTCCGCTTGGAGTCTGCAACACTGAGCAGTGGGTGGGCAATAACGTGCGAGAGCTCTTGTGGGCTACATGAGGATTTGTATTGATTGTTCTGTTCTTACATCCTGTTTTTTATCGTGGTTACAATATATGCAAACATGTCAGGCAATTAGACGTGTGAGGACCTGGTTCTGCTTGATTATTTGACTTCCTGCAACTAATAATGAGATTTTTGAAAGATTTAGTGCTATGCCATTGAATATAAAAGAGAATCGGAGGCCTGTATGTGCAATGGAGTTAGGTGTGGTAGATTAAATTTGTCCTGGCATTCTTATTGAAGCCTCCCTGTAGGCACTATCAGCTGTAATCAGCACTGTTGCCAGAAAAAACATTGTAGTGTCAGAAACATGGGTGTTTTAAGGGTACAGCCGGGGGGACTTGAAGTGTTCACTTATTTGTTTAACTTTAAATTAATAAAGACCCACAAGATTCTTTTTCTTTCCTGGGTTGTTGTTGAATTCTGTCATTTAAATTCTTTTTACTAGTCTTTATAAAACTGCTGGCATCCAAATTACCTACTTAGGAAAAAGCTAAGTATCGTTGTGGCACATTGAAAATATCCGCTTGTGTGCACAGTAATGGCCTAAAATGAAATAAATTCCCAGCAGGATTCAGAGGAAAGGACAGAATACTTAAGATATAACTTAACTATCGTGTCAGTCAGCGTTATGCCTAGACTTTCAACAATGTGTTCTCTTTCAGTTGCTAAAATTTCTTTTTCTGTTCTCTTTTTCTTGATAATAAGGACTAGAAATGATCGACAAAAGTTATAAATTATGCACAGGCTGTGACCATCGGATACTACAATAATGATTCCTTAGCATAAGAGCAAGTTTTGATTCTCAGAAAGATACAGGATATACAATAATTTTGAAATTCCTGGAAGTTTTTTGCATCATTTACTACCTCTTTCCAGTAAGACTGTGGCTGTGAGAATAAAGCAAGTTAAAATCGGCACATACTTGACCTTTGTGGCACTGATTTCTCCTGCACTCAGGGGCTGGCTCGTAGGCCCAGGTGCTGGACGCTGTTTAATGAGTGAGGTGACCCTGAGATCAGACCGGGACAGTGTTACCGGGAAGGAGCAACAGCATAAATGTAAAAATTAGTAGTCTGTATGATAAATATTTTAAAGGATCGCCCTGTTGAAAGCTTCAGTACATGCTTCACGATGTCATTTAACCATCAACTGTAACTGAACAAAATTAAGAATATCTTTTCTATTACATTTGTTATCTTAAATAAGATAATAGATATTCACTTAAAGCACACACTTCTGGTTTCTTCCAAAAAACAGACTTACAGGGACCACCCCTGAACAGAGGCCAATCCTATCTGACAGTTCATTGTTCCTGCCATTGTATTGATTGATTCTAAGAAAGACAGAGACCAATAGGTTTCCTGAATAGTTATAATAATAGTATTAATAATCAGATTATTAGAAGTGAAGTAATTGTAAAGCTTGCAAATGCATTTTAATTTGTGCTGCTTACTTTTTGTGTTTCTCCTTTTCAACAAATTGCAATTCACCAGTCGATTGCAGTGTGGTTTATAGACCACTTCTGCATGCAGGTTTCTGTACACATTACTGTGCCGCGTTGACTGTGTAACAAATACTACTCAATTTTTTGCATGTCTTTCCTTCAGAACATGGAAATTAGCACTAAAGCCTTAGGTTTAGCTTTAGAAAAAGATTTTTTTCACTCTAAAGGAGTCTTACGGTGTCACTTTCAGTCTCTCTTGTGAAAGTTAAAGTTCTTTCTCTTGCTTCCTTTTATGTTCAAAAACTTAAATAATTTATTACTGCAGAGGAATGTGTACTGAATCCAGTAACCAACAGAAGACATGGAAAGATTTATTGGGAGAAACAGTAAGAGCATTCCTGGCCAGGTGTATTTTTTTTCTTTTTTGTGAAATGGGGAAAAAAAAATATACACCTCCAGCCAGCTTCAGATATGGCTGGAAGCCCTCTTGGAAAACAGCGTCTGTAATTCTGAAGTGCTTCTTGAGACAAACTGAACAAAAAGCAATGAGGGGCACAAAGAGATTGGTACTGCTGAATAGCAAGAAGTGTGTTGCTGGATCTTGAAAGCGACTGCAGTGTTTGCCATCTGAGTGGGTGTATGCACATGACTTCCACTCTCCTTGTACATTCTACAGCAATTTATACCCATGGGAAATGAGGGAGTGAAACCCCTACCAAACTGGGCGTAGTGGCTTCCGAGTTCCTCTTTGCACCCTCGGTCCATGACAAAAGGTACTGGAGGAGCAGGACCTGACTACACTACAAGACTCCTTGCTTAACTGAATGGGAAGTGGCACTCAGTAAACAGCAAGGCACAGCTGTGGTGAACATTTTTACTCTAAGACAATTTTTTTAGACCACTAGTAAATAATTTTACTGTATATTAGAATACATAACATGAATTTGTGAGGACGGTAATCTTTTGGGGGGTTACAAATTGTAATAGCTTACTTATTTGGTCATTTTTAGGATAAGAATCTAGTCGTGCAAATATCATTTTTCCAGGAATGATGAATCAGGTATAAACTACTTCTAATTCTATCCATTTACCTCTCTAGCATTCTTCCTGTCATCTATGTAAAGCAAAAAGTTAATAAGAGCATTATAAAACGCAATACTACATATTTTAGAGTGTTCCAGGGATACTTTTCCCCTATCAGTTTTTCCTTCAACCCCAACTTCTTAGTCTCCAGCTCCTCTCCGTGCTAGTTGAACAGGTAGGTCCCCTCAGCAGTAGCCTTATTCCTTAAAAAGCAGTGATTAACGTTATGTACAAGCTGTTGAAACCATTTCCTCTTTCTCCATTAATCCAAGTGTCTTAAACACGTCATCTACAAATGATTCCTTGATGCAGCATCTTAGAAAAGTAGTGGTGACAAGATATAGAATCAAACTTCTCCCTCTGCCTGCCCCAGGCAGGAAGCTGTACCTGCATCCCATTTGACATGTATGTGGGCCTCATGTTGCAGGACCCCAATGATGGCGTTTCCTTGACCTGTCCAATAATCTGTTCCATTGTATACCAGTCCTTACTGTTAAAACACTTCCCTGACTTCTTATGTCCCAGTTTAAGCTCCCTTAAGCCTATTGCTTCCAGTTTTATCCATTGTGGATACGGAAAACAGCTCTTGCTTTCTCTCTGTAGCTCCCCTTCTGTATTTGAAACTCTTCTAGATTCTCCCCAGAGTTTTGTAGACCTTTCTTTTTCTCTGTTGCTTCACAGAAATTGTTCCCTCCTATTTCTCTCTCCAGGGATGTGTCTGTGCCTGGCTACACCTATTGATATTTTCCCAGTGCGCAAACGAAAATGTTACTGGTAGCAAGAGGCCAACCTTTTATAGTCAATACAATTAAGAAAACTTGGCAAGTAGACAAAGGACTCTTTCAAATGTGAGCTGGAGTGCTCAGTTAGAAGCACGGAATCAAAGTCTCTTTTTATTACTTCTTCCTGTGTTGGTCTCTATACTTGCCTATCAAAACCAGACTACTTTTTAAAGTTATTTGATACAAAGATCAGCCTAAACTACTGAAGTCCCAGTGCTTAAATGCCTTTGTGAGTTTAAGTAGTTTGTAGACTACAGATGGGATTCGGTAGGTGCTTAAAGTTATAGGTCTTTAACTATGCTACTCAATTAAATCCTCAGTTTTCTTCCAGTGTTTTCAAACCCAAAATTTTGACTGGCTTTTAGATTTTAAAAAACTGTTAGGAAGCAAGTGACAGAATCAAGCTTCTGTTTTGGTGGTCTCTGGATAGATGGCATTAATTCTAGCAGTTAAAATATATTCCTTTTTAAAAGAATAATTTTGTTTTTTAAATCGTCATGGAAAATGGATATTACTATGAAATTGTGTTTCCTTAAAATATAAGTTTTAGAAGTTGTTCTTCTAATAAGTGCAAATAATTTTTTTTTTCCAACAATCATATGGTAATTTTGCATACTTGAAAATTGATTTTAAGTATTTACTTTTTCCACTTTTGTTAACATATTGTTTCCCCCACTCCTTTTTTTTTTTTTTCCCCAGGACCATTTGCTGCTTCAGGAGACAGTAAATTCTGCTGCTGCTCTTATCATGGCATTAATAAAGGACAGAAACCCGGAGCTGACTGGGCAGCTGTTGGTAGCATAAGACCATAAATCATGTGTAGCTTTTGGAAATGTTTCTTTTTCATCATCCATTCACCAAAGGTCTTGAATCATTTTACTCTTTGATGAAAACTCTGGATTTATGACATTTACTATTAAGATCTTTTAAGAACATATTTTTGATACTTAAAATGCAAGTCTGATGTTATGTATAAAGTGTAAAATGAAATACAAATCATTCTGAGGTACACTGGGTACATACTGTGAGGAATGATACTGAAATGTTTTTGTGAGGTACTGATCATTTAAAAAGGTGCACAGAGGACACCAAAGTATTCAGTCTTCATGCAGAATTGTCTTTAACCATGCATGTGTGTTGTACTCTAGGACTGCATGAAAGAAATCTGATTTAAGATAAAATAATACTAAAGCACAGCTCTTGTTCTTTATATGAAATTATTTAAAAATTGCTGCTATACCTCTTAGTGAATGTAGAGCTCATTATACAGTGTAGCCTTCCTGACATCAATAGAAACGCACATTGCAAGAAGTATTTGAAGGGTCAGGTCCCCGTCCTCCATGTAATGAAGGTAACCTTGAGACAAAGAAAAGATGTGCGTGGGGGCAATGAGGTGCTAAACCCCAGTTTTCCAGATGCAGTATGCTCTGGCTGTAGCACTCCTTAGTGCTACACTTCTTCCAGTATCCACGTACCATCATTTCGAAGTAGCTCAAATAGCTCCTCTGAGTACTGTATTACACATACTCTTTGTACGTGTACGTATATGCATGTATATGCATATGCACGCTTAAAGGAAGAGTTAAGACCGAAAAAAATGTTTTGCAACCCACTGTGTAGGTAATGGAGAAATAGGAAGATTCTGTTAGCTCATCTACAAGAATCCATTATTCATCTCTTGCTGGTTAGCATGTGTATGTATTAAATAGTAGTGAAGAGAACTGAGTGTTATGAGTTCAAATATATGCTGCATTGATATTCAAGTGTGGAAAGTTGGGACAGGAAGGTAAAATGGTGAATGGTTATTATGTGGAGTATCTCCAGGTATCAGAACCACTAAGAGCAGTACAAGAAGAGGACAGTCCCTGAAAACACCTGTCCCTCCCTATCCATCAGACTCAGGAATTCCAGCTTTCCTGCAACTTGTGAAGGGGCTAGGTTCATGTCTTACCTACCTGCCGTGATTGGAGTAAGGTCTTGGAGAAGTATCCCCACCAGAAGTGTCCAGTGAGCCCCCCATTCAGTCTGTCCTGAGGGAGTGCACTGTCAGTTCAGCAAGTTTCCCTCTGAAACCAGCATTCCTTACTCCCACCATGTTCCGCTCCCTCTGTTGCTCAGACAAAACTTAGGATAGCATGATCCAGGCTCGGCCCCCTTCCCC